ACCTGAGTGTTGGCTTCATTATTGCGTGGACCCGAGAGTAACTCAAGTCTTGCAGGAAAGAAGTTGCTCATAAACTATGATGACTGGAAAACAGGCCCCATAGTCATGTCACCGGAGCAAGACAATGCAAATAGAGAACATGAGCTGCACGCACATTTTTAACGAGAGCATTCCAAACAATTGTTGATTGCTCAGGAGAGCTAGCACATACCGATTTCTGGATCTGCTGAACATTTTGGCTAAAGAAAGGTGTTACTCAAGCACTTGCTGAGGTCAGAATGATGTCCTCTAGAAAAAGCAGGCAAGAACACATACAACATCCCAGACACTGCCAAGTGAAAAACAACTAAAACTGACCATGATAATAAATGATAAAATTATAATGAAGCTATAATAGAAATAATTTTTGCCATTTATATTTAATAATGAAACAGAATAAAGGCAATGATTAGTTTGCTTGTATTGATTTTTGCTTACATTTGAAAGTTTTTTGCATAGTTTTTCTCGGTGTAGTTTCTGAGCCCCAAACCAGAAGTGGCAGTCCGCCACCAGTGAACCATTGTTATCACATGAGATTCATCTGATCAGTGTTGTACAGAAAATATTTCCCACTGTCTTTGCTCCAGGGAAATGCTGTCCAAACTGCAATGGGCCCCTGCGGCTCCTTTCCTGCCGAGGCCACGGTGGTTACCCAGTTACCAATTTCTGGAGGCATGAAGGCCAATTCATATTTTTTCAGGTTGGTATAAAATTACCTTACATTATGCAAGTTAATTTTAAAGATCATTTTTTAAGATTGATTAAGGGCATTTTTTGTTCCAACAAATAAGGGTCATTGAATATGACAAGGTCAAATGACTGTAAGGAGAAAAATTTACACAATGAGTGGGCAAGGTCCTAAGCAACCTGATCTGACTCTGAAGTTAGTCCTCTTGAGCAGGAGGTTGAGCTAGAACTCGAGAGGTCCTTTCCAACCTAAATTAGCCTACGCTACTATGATTTTACAGCATATTATATTTTTCATTTAGGATCCCATGAAAACCTGTTGATTTTGAAGCACGTTGCCTCAGGTACATAGGAACCAACAAATCCTCAAAAAGTCAGGAATGCCATGTCATCTCAACCTCTTCTCCAGGCACCATGCATAAGCATGAGCCTACATTTGAGCAGGAAATGGTGGTACCGGAGGGATCGTCTATGGAAAATGCCATCTGTGCATTATATGTAACTTATGTCTGGAAAACAGCCTATGCAAGTGTTTAAATAATGGACACTGTTTCTGGAAGCTGTAGTCCTAGTTTAGTATCATAACCACTGAAGAGTCTCCTGTTTTCCAGTCTGTTACGTATGTGCAGGTTAAACAGAATTAATTCTCTGTGGAAGCTAGTGGAAATTAATGTTCTGATAAACATGTCTGGTGTGTGAGAAGAATGGAAATGACTGCAGGGACACTGCAGCCAGGCTGCAAAAGACCTTGTGGCTTCAACTGGGGCTCCAGTGTGGGGAGTCTCTTCTGCACATAAATGTGGTGCACTGGTTTTATGATTTCAGAGAATTTCTACCCAATCACACTTCATCTAAGATATGTTTGTTACTTGAGCTCACATTACATAAGTCTTATTAAATACAAAGCGTTAAATCAGGCCATATGTGTGGGTTTGGCCTGTGCTACAAATTCTGCTCCCTTAAGATTAATAACAAGGTTGTTTCTAACTTTAACGTATCATAATTCTTTTCTGAAGTCCAAAGGAGCTCATGACCATCCACGTCCAGAAACAAAATTAGAAGCAGAAGCAAGAAGATCAATCCAAAAAGCACAGATAGCTTTTTCTCCATCTTCTTCAAGATTAAAAAGAATCCAGGAGATTGAGGTAACTCTTATTATTGATCCATGAAATTGTGGGGTGAACAGTCCGTGGTTCAAGGCACAGTGGAGGCTACCTGGGCTTTGGGTCTGGCTGGGAGCAGGCTTTACATCTCCACATTCCACCTCCCCGTGATCAGGCCAAGAAGGAGCAGGGCTGTCCGGAGCATCCTGCCCTGCTCCACACTGTCACCCACCGCCAGCACCCCACATCTGGAACTTCTTTGGGCCCAGTGGCAGCAGAGGATAACAACTATACCGGTAAACAAAGCAGGGCTGGAGGGCAGGCTCAGTCGCATCACTATCCACACAGTCCCTGCCATGGATTTGGCCAGTGCTAACTCCTGCTTACAGACAAAATGCCCTGGCATGGCTCAGGAGGACAGCATAGGCCAGGGACCATTCCCTGGCAGGATTTTGGACAAGGTTGCATCAGCTTTGGGTTCCTTCACCATCCACAGCTGGCTTTGAACCTACCTACGCCCCTACGTGCCGTCATGCTACACGCCACAGGCAATAAGAATCTCAAGGTGGTGCTGTGAAAAATAGCCCTTGGTGGGCTGCAACACAGCCCTCGCATCGTTTCACTTCAGGTTCAGAGGTTGCCCAAAGCCAGGATGTAGCGTGGGCACTGCCAGACCGTGCCTTTTGGTCCCTGTTACCAATGACAGTCCTTGACCTCATTTTATTTAGCAGCACGTACATAGCTTTAGAGCCCCAGCTCTTTCCTTTTTTAAATGCAGGAGTTGCCTTTAGAAAAATTTCCTGTAAGTTCTTTGTGCTGCTGCAGAAATTAAATTATTTACAAAGAAATCTGGGAATAATTAGATATTTAGTCTGATAATATTGACATGGAGGGAGAATATTAGAAGGATTTAATTGATTGCACCACCCCGTGAGAAAACCGTAACAAACGGACACTTAAAAATTAAACTTAAAAATTGAGAAATACTTTTGGCAATAACTGAACTTAGGAGGAAGATTCATGTATGTGTGTACACATACACGCACACATACACTGTATACTATTTTACTGTAGAATACAATATATAACATTACCTATATGACATGCCTATTATATACTCTGTATGGTAACTTGACGAAACAAATGTGCCATTAACAAGGCAAATCCAGAAATCCTTACTCCTTCTTCTTCCAGTTCCCCAACCTTTACTTATGAAAACGCAGTTACTTCAGTAGCCGGCCTGGATCGTTTCATTCACAAACTTAATGCCCATCAGGGGAGAGATGCGCTCCTGCAGAGCAGCAGCCCCTGAGCAGGATTTGGCCACCTGCAGACCCTCAAGGGCTGTGAGTGCACCCTCAGGTGCAGGAGGCACCAACCCACCCTTAGAGAGACAGCGAGAGGTCATGTTTTCTCCATGTTGACCTGTGTCCCGAGGTCCTCCACTGACATGGAGGAGGTGCTGCAGAAAAGTGAAGGCATCCTCCACCTTTGCTTTCCCCCCCTGGGTTTTGCCAGGGTTGATAAGGGGAAGGTGCATCACCTCTGCCTGGTGTACCCTGCTTGCTCCCTGGGTCTCCCAGGAGGGCTCTGAAGGCAGAAGAGTGCTTTAAAGGACTTACAGAAGCATTGATGTTAAAACATCAGCTCTGCTGGGTGTGGAAACACTTGTGAAAGCATCTACAGGTATCCCCATGGACTGCCGCGTGCCTGATAGTGGGAATCGGGTAGAGCAGTGAGGCTGTCTCCAGTGACCTTCCTTGCAAAGGTTAAGTTACATGTGGCTGCACACCACCCGTCTTCACATGTAGTTTGTCTTTTGATGTGCTAGAGGTGTTGCTTCCTCACCAGCCTGGTGTTCAGGATAGTAATCAGTGCCCCTTCGGCTACAGACACAAGGGATAATTGGGCTGGATGGGGACAAGCTTCTTAAATGGATGACATGGGGAAGGAGGAGGATTCAGGAGCCCAAGAAATAGATCAAACAAGTGAACAGGGGAAGTTAAACCCATTTGGATGGAATATGAATTTAGGAGATGCAGCTATTTCTACGGGAAATACTCGGGAGGACGCTAAAAACCAGAGCTCAAGAGTGACTTTCATGGAAACACACTGACTTGGGATGGGACAGGGTACAGGACAGACTGGTGATGGCCTCTTGACACAAGTGCCCGTGAACACGAGCAAAAGAAAAAGCAGCTGATCCGCTGTGTAAATCTCTAACAAATACAGAAACAATGATTTTCATATCACTGGCTTAATTCTGTCCCCATGAACACTAAAATAGTCCTCATCTAGAAAATGTTACTGAGCCACGTGGCTTTTTTTCTTTTATACCTGAGCCCACTGGTCTTACTGAGGTCAAGTTCCCTCTAGACATGTCTTTGTCTTTCCCTTTCTACAACATCTTCCTGATGTTTTCACTTCCAATTGTGTGGGAGTAGGAACAGACCAAAGATGTCATAAATATCTAAGTGTAGACCCTGCTCTTCAGCTGCTGTGACTCTGTGCAGAGTGATACCTTTTACCCTCAGCTGGCTTTCCAGGTCATGGCTTTCCAGCAGGTTTTTCTCGGGAATAACCCATCATACTCATGTTCTGCCAAGGCCGGCTGCGACACAACTAACTCAGGAATCCAATTTGACACGCAGAACTTGTGTCACTGAATCTGCAAAAAGGCTTCTTGAAAGATTCAATTTTAATGCGCTCACGAGAGACCAGGGAGGAGAATTTTAGCAAAATGTATGAGCCCAAAATAGAGCAAGTGATACATCGGAGGTTTTCTCTATGGAGTCAGTAGGTCTTTAGCTGAATGTGGGCTGGGTCCTGCATCAGGTTGTTGGAAATTCTTCTCGTGGTGAGCGGAGAACAGCAAATCACTATAATTAAATGGACGCAAAAGCAGAATTACAAAGAAGAGAGACCTGTAAGAACTCATCAGAAATGATAGCACAGAACGAGTGTTCTGAAAGGAATTAAAGTCTGCAAAATTATGAACCAATAATTAGGGCAAATAAAGAAGTTGTGAAAGATCCAGAGCAAAAGACTCAGAAGAACAATTCTTGTGTGCTGCTCCTTCCCTGAATGAAATTTCTGTGTGAGGTTAAAAAAAAAGTAAAGATAGGAAAATTTATCAGTTAGAAATAGAAGTAGAGTCTTGAAAATCTGAAACATAATATTATGTAGTGAAAAGATCACTTCAAAACAAGCAGTTTTAAAAAAAAAAAAACATACTTAGCTTTTCCAAATCGCATTAAAAAAAAAAACCCAAACAACAACTTCTGTGGTGTCAAATGTATTAGCATAATTTTATTTTCAGGTGCTTCTTCAGTATATGCTGGCAGCAGACCCCAAGGGCTATGAATGCGAAGTCTAAGAATTCTTTCAGTGTAAAACAGGCTTTGGGCAAAAACTGGTGAAACAAACCCAGACCTGTGGTCTGGGAGCCCTGTTTTGTTTGCCACTAAAGCCCACTGGCACTACCCTACCAGGAGGCTCTGCGACGGCGTCTGCTTCATTACCTGTACTAATTGAATGCATTTGTGAGGATTTCATACAGGTCGAGTTTTAGTTCATGCTGCTAGACTACACCTTGTTTTACTAAACTCTGCCTTGCTTTCCCAAGTCTCTGACAGATGCAATGCCAACGCGGGAGGTTTTGCCTTTGCTTCTTTCCAAGCCAGACGCTTACATGCTACCTGCTCATTTTGGAGGACATTTAAACAAAAGATCCCGGGAGCCGACACCGGGCAGCTGCTCTGGGCAGCCGTCACACCCAAGGGCAGCTGGGGAGGATGGGGGCTCCGGAGAGGCACCGGCCTGGAGCAGGATCCCGGCCCTCGGGAGGATCCCCAGCACCGGGAGGCCTTCCAGCGGCCCTGCCATCCCCGTGGCTGACCCGCCCTGCGCAGCCCCTTCCCCTCAGCACTGCGCCCACCCTGGCACCCACCATGGCCTGCCCGTCACAAAGGGTGGCCATGACCCCTTCAGGCCTGACGCTGGCCCTTTGGGGGAGGAATCCTGTGAGGGGAAATCCCCGCAGGTTTACAGGGGCAGCTGCCTCCCTCCGCCGCCCTACCCTGCGCCTCAGGGAGGCCCCTGCCCCACGTCGAGCGGGGCACAACACCACCGCCAGCTCTCGGCACCTGCGAGGGGAAGCAAAGGAGACCAGGGCGAGGGAGGGCACCGTATGGTTCTCAACTACTGCAACGACGACACGTTTATTAACCTGTACCCATTACGGTGACTGGGTTTAACTGTCCTGTCTCCTCGCCACCCTCCTCTGGCAACGGGCCCAATTCTCCATCCCTGTCGCAATGCGGATGTGAAAGTGCTGCCACGCCCGTTCCCCCTTCAGCTCCTCTTGCAGGCCTCAGGAGGGGCTTTCATGCCCAAAGACTTGTCTTTGTTCTTTTTTTTTTTTAACTGTTATGTTTTCCCCCACTATTTCATTGATCTAATAAAAGGTGTCAGCTCTTCTTACAGACTGCCTTGCTGCCATGCTGGCTTGGTAGCATTCAATCCCCCTTGATATTCAGTTTGTTCAAGCCGGTGGGACTGTGGAAGGTGCAGATGGATGACCTCAGGGACCATAACTGTCGTGTGCGACCCTCTGCACTCTTCCAGCTTCTTTGGGCAGTGATCCAAGTCCCTCCACTGCACCAGCACTGCCAACGTATTGTGTAGAATCATCACAGAATGGCTTGGGTTGGAGGGGACCTTCAAAAATCATCCAGTTCCACCCTCCCTGCCATGGGCAGGGACACCTCCCACCAGACCAGGTTGCTCACAGCCCCATCCAACCTGGCCTTGAACACTCCCAGGGATGGGGCAGCCACAGCTGCTCTGGGCCA